CACACACACACACACACACACACACACACACACACACACACACACACACACACACCCTCCTCGATCCTCACACCCCCACCAGTCTACCAATACACACTTAGCCTGCGCACACACAGTCCACATCCTATTCAAACATGCCTTTATTTATGGCCTGGTCCTCCACCTCCACTTACATTATTACAGGCCTGTATACACTGCCTTCCATCATCATCACGATGACGACTTGAGGTCGGATCGTTTCCATATGGGAAGATCAAACACCCTGAGCGTGCACATTTACACATCCATACAGTCTGGACTCTGTGCTTGTTATTCAGACTTCAGGGGGAATCCACAGTGTTGTCAGACCACCGCTAAGTATTCTTCTGATTGAGTTTCCAGCCGTTACATTTTGGAACAGGTCCAGGAAAAGTTGTGATTGGTAGTCCAGCTCCTCTGTGCGCGGGTTTGACAGATATGCTGCAGACACGCACACATCCAGTGTTTTTCTCAGATGACAACAATCAGACAAGCCGAGACACAAGGACATGCACATTCCTCCACTGAGAAACGAGCCATGGAGTCACTACATGGGTTTCTCAAAGCAGCTTCCAAATGAAAAGTCTGAAATAGTACAATTCCTTCGGGAACAATGTTGCAGCTTGTTTTTCCTTGATATCATTGTATTCATTTTTTTAACAAAAACATATTAAGTTAAATTTGGGGACTCAAGCTCAAATTACATTACTCTCTTCCAGACCAAAAACAAACAACATCGGCCTCAACTAAAAATAAGATAAGAGTATAAAGCTAAAATGCTGATATGGATGGAGGTTGTTTTTTGTTTTAACACAGTTTTAAATAACACATACATGCAGACAGATCCAATCGATAATCAAAATGCTTTCATGATCTATGGATCTGTCGGTGGTGGGTGTCTGCATCATTGTTTCCAATCTCACTTTCTGTCCATTGAGACTCAAATACAACCCCTCAAAACCAAGTCAGCAGTCTTTTGGGCCTTGTAAAGACTGCAGGATTTTAAAACTAAAACTCAATGTAGCCTAAACCTAACAAAAAATACTTTATTACTTTTTATGCACTCGGGAGGAACATGTAAAATTATGTAACATAATGTAAGAAGTGTACTTGATGGAATCGATGGAATCCTACAACCATGAAAGTTTTAGCCAGACTAAACTTGATATTTACTCACATTGGAAAGTGCCCTCTAATGACACTGTCTGTTGTCATTAGATTACATAAAGAACACCAGGTTTTGTTTTGGGACAGGCATTCAAAATGCATCATTATGAAATAACAGAACATGCTGGAATGAGTTTCCAATAAAGAGTCAGTGCATGGCTGGATTCAACTTGTAAGGGGCTCTGGGGCAATAGCTTGATGTTGGGCCCCAACTGACCCTCTCACACAGAGAACTACACATTAGAGGCCTGATTATACTCCATGTGAACACAGTATAATAATACAGCAGTTAAAATACATTTGGACAAGGCCCCCTCTAAATGAACTGTGCACATGTAAAAAACAGAACCATATGAATTGTTCGTGCAACCAGCTTACTACGAGCTATAGTTTCATTGTGAAGTGAAAAGTAGCTGTCATGTGAGATGTCATTACTCTGTTCAGCAGATGCCCCCAAACTACAAGTTTTGGTCGACGTGAAGAAGCCCTCAAGTCGGTGCATTGGCAGCAGGTCCGGGCGGATGGTGTGCTTGACAAAATGTTGTACATCAACAGGGGGACTGCTGTTTGTTTCCCTTTTCAAACGTTGTTTCTTTTCTCCATGACAATGACCATTCTATAACCTCAACCACGTGTTGTAAGCATGGTCCATAACCTTAGGGAGCAGCCTCTATGGCCTATTTTAAGCAGAACCATAATTTGTCCCTGAATCTAGACAGGTTGTCACTGTGTGTAAACCTAACCAAAGCTTTGTTATAGCTCCAGCACATTAGAAAAAGGTGAGTTAATTATTTTTCGACAGCAATCGTATTACTTCTAAATATGGGTAAGTATGGGGCCCAAACTGGGAAAAGGCTCCTGTGGGTGAGAGAGGAGAGAAACATTTAGGTTGGAGGGCTTGTTGTCTAAACGACGAGGCACTGAGTATAGTAATTGAACAGATTGTTAAATAAATTTGCCAATCTGGAGGTTTAGGGGGTAACCTAAAACAACCTTCAATCTCTTTTACAAAGCTGAAAACACAAAAATGATTTGATGTAGCCTGGGAAAGTAGTTGCCACAAGTGGTACAATAACTGGAGTTCTTGCACATGTACACACATGCACATGTACTTCCATTTCAACCTCTGACGAGAACGAATTAAAAACTAAAGCACCCATTCCCTGCTACCCATTCCTACAGCAGGAATGGGTGGATAGGCCCTTTCTTCACCCTCACCCATATTCTCTGTCTATGACACATAGGTCTGTCCCCGTCTTCTGCGTTAGGTGAGTTGCTGTCATTACAGTCTCGATTATGTCAGTGTCAATGTTGTCTTTAAGGAATAGCCACTCGATAATCAACCCTTTCTGATGCTACAGGTATCTTAGGTGAATTGACACACTGAGAAGGACAACCTCACACTACCTCACACTCAAGTTTGGATGACTCTGGACCCTCTTCAACTACAGGCAGAGTGCTGGTCTGAGATCTAGTTTTAGCTCCCAGTGTAGAGACTGGAGATGCACAATGGCACAACCCTATCCTATGATCTCTCCTAATGGGGCCTCCCATAAAAGGATCCATAGAGTGTGTGTGTGGTCTCTTGCATTTCCACAATGTTATAACAGTTGGACCCCAGGCATCTTTGATCTTATGTCTCCCTGAAGGACTGTGTCGTAGAGATATCAGCTGACTGATTTACAGGAGGACAGCAAAACAATTTTTTTCTCTGATTGTAACATTTTCAGTAAGTCAAGAAACAGTAAGACATATTTATCAGACTGTGCCTTTCCTTGTGGTCTGTAAGGTGCTGTTCTTGTCTTCTTAATGCCATACAGCTTGCACAGTTCTGTCACCTGTATTGGCCAGAAGGCCTCAGACTGGCTGTGGCATCTTAATCCACAAACGTCTTCATTGTTTTAGCCCTGTTTTCATCTAAAAGCCACACAAAGAAATGTCTCTTCTTGGTGTCCTACATTATAGTGAATACCATCTAGGACTTGATCCTTCACACAGGCGAGTAAAAGTAACAATGACATGGGTTTGCCACTTCTTCTGGATACATGTCCACTTTTTCAGCAGCCTTTTCAGTGCACTAGACAGAAGTGCCCTTTCTTTGGGGCCTGGCTTCCTCTTTTCGATCTGTTGGGGTCTAGAACTGCCCCTTACCTCATTTAATTACCAACATGCAATCATCAAAGTCCAAGTCTGGCTCTGATTCAGGTTCTTCTACAAACTTCTGCCAAGGCAGATCATCTGCTGCATCATTACTATAACCAGTGCTGACTGCACTAACCACTGCTACTATGGCACCTATAGCTTTTGAGTTGGCAGAGGACTTTTTTTCTGCAACCACCCATTCAAAGACAAGAACCTCAAGCTTCATGCTACTGTTATTATGCTTATTATTTCTCAGTCTGGTATAACCTGTGGCTGACATAAGCTATGGCCCACTTGGTGCCAACCTGGTGCTACCACAGCATGTTGACTTGCATCTTTCTTAACTATACACCTATGCGTGAGGTCAGCAAAAACCAAAATGGGTGCAGAGGTTATTTTTACCTTTCATTGCTCAAAAGTTGTCACACTGCAAGAGTAGCGGAACTAAACTGGTAACCAGGTTTTTCTTGTTTGAACCAGAAACGTTTTTGACAAGCTCATGTAGCTGCCCAACAATCTGCGAGAACCTATAAAAAATCCTCCAGCAATACCTAGAGAGCCCCAAAATGTCCTTAGACAGATCTGTCCCTAAAACCTTGAACACTTCACAGTTTCAAACCTCTCCAATGCTGGTCAGATTATTATCTTTACCCACTTGTCTTGACAAAACATCAATATTTGGCAACAAGGACATTTTACTAGGCTTATAGAAAAAGAATGCAGCAAAATACCAGAGAGACAAATGGCAGTAAAATATACCAATCAATACAAAAAGAGGCTCTGGAAGTGGACAGAAAAACTAAATATAACACAAAAAATGTATGGATGCTGA